ATGTTAGATAACAGGAAAGAGCCAACAATAACAAAAAAGGAGACATTGAATAAAAGAAAAGACCCCAAAATAACAAAAAAGGAGACGCTTTTATCCAAAGGGACTCACAAACAGTGTTTAATGTCCAGCTCCACTCTGAGCTCAGCTTGATGCTACATGCTTTAACATTAAAGTTTTAACATCCAGCTAGAACACAGATTCCACAGCTAGCATCCCTTGATGCTACATGCTAGCAGAGGCTTTAGCATGAAGGCTTTAACATCCAGCTAGAACTCAGATTCCACAGCTAGCATCCTTTGATGTTACATGCTAGCAGAGGCTTTAGCATGAAGGCTTTAACATCCAGCTTTTTAAATAACAGAAAAGACCCAAAAATAACAAAAAAGGACAAATTAAATAACAGAAAAGACCCAAAAATAACAAAAAAGGACATGCTTTTATCCAAAGGGACTCACAAACAGTATTTAATGTCTGATGCTACATGCTAGCAGAGGCTTTAGCATTAAGGCTTTAACATCCAGCTAGAACACAGATTCCACAGCTAGCATCCTTTGATGCTACATGCTAACAGGAAAGGAGACACTGAATAACAGAAAATAACAAAAATTAGATATTAAATAACAGAAAAGAGCGAACAATTACAAAAAAGGAGACATTAAATAACAGAAAAGAGCCAACAATAACAAAAAAGGACAAATTAAATAACAGAAAAGACCCAAAAATAACAAGAGGCTTTAACATTAAAGTTTTAACATCCAGCTAGAACTCAGGTTCCACAGCTAGCCTCCTTTGATGTTAAATGCTAGCAGAGGCTTTAGCATTAAGGCTTTAACATCCAGCTAAAACACAGATTCCACAGCTAGCCTCCTTTGATGCTACATGCTAACAGGAAGTGAGAGACTTTACGGCTTTCCTCTGTGCGTTTATCAGGTGATCGCGCTGGTGATGGACGTCTTCACGGACGTGGACCTTTTGTGCGACCTCATGGAGGCGTCCAATAAACGCCGCGTGCCCGTTTACGTCCTCCTGGACGAGAAGAGCCTTTCCTCCTTCACCGACATGTGCTCCGCGCTGGACGTCCAGAACTCACACCTGAGCGTAAGAACCACCAGGGACACCCTAAATATCGCACATTATAGGCTAAAAAACTGCACAAATAGGACATTTTAGAGTAAAAAGCTGTAAAGAATGCACATTTTATGGTAAAAAACTGTACAAATAGGACATTTTAGGGTAAAATCTGTAAATAATGCACATTTTATGGTAAAAACTGTACAAATAGGACATTTCATGGTAAAAAGCTGTAAATAATGCACATATTAGGGTCATAAATGTGAATTATTGCACATTTTAGGGTAAAAAGCTGTAAATAATGCACATTTTATGGTTAAAAAACTGTACAAATAGGACATTTTAGGGTAATAAGCTGTAAATAATGCACATTATAGGCTAAAAAACTGTGCAAATAGGACATTTTAGGGTAAAAAGCTGTAAATAATGAACATTTTATGGTAAAAAAAACTGTACAAATAGGACATTTTAGAGTAAAAAGCTGTAAATAATGCACATTTTAGGGTAATAAACTTTAAATATTGGACATTTTAGGGTACGAAAACTGTAAATAATGTACATTTTAGGGTAAACAAACTGTAAATATAGCACATTGTAGGAAAAAACACTGCATATATTGCACATTTTAGTGTAAAAAACATTAAATATTGCAGTTTTGTAGTGTAAAAACGTTCAATATTGTACATTTTAGTGTAAAAAAACAGTAAATGTTGCACATCAATGCAGCATTTCCAGGCAGCTCTGTTTATAGCAGGCAGAGTTCCTTAAAAAAGGATCTATTTATGGCTCAGACTCACCTGGATCTGAGTAAAATACCTGAGAGTCTACTTTAAGACATTCAGTTGTTTCCTCGTTTGCGGTCTGTTGATGGAAAGTTGGTTCTGAATTCCCGAAAGGAAGCAAATAAATCCTCCAGAGATCATTTAATGCTGCTGTCACAGATCAGAATAAACAACAATAATAATAAAAACACATAAAATCCTCTGACTCGTGTGAAATTTATACAGGAAGTAATTCAGTGACTGTGGGAACTTAAAGTTTTAGCCTCCAAAAAACTGTCCAGAGGTCAGATTTTTAGTTAGAATTAAAACAAAAATAGATCGAGTTATGGTGGATTATTAGTGCCAGTAATTATCACCATGCTAATAAGGGATAATGCTAATTATCATTAATGCTAGTAAGTTGGATTTGAATCAATTCATGAGGTAATGTTGTCAAACACACGGAATAAAAATGGGTTTCCTTTTGAATCTAATATTTAATATGCTCACATATTTTGGTTTCTTTTCCATGGTTATTTAGCTGCTTTATTTTTAGCCTTTGCTCCTGTTCATTTTCATATTTTGGGCGCTAAATTGGGCGTGTAAGCTGTGGAACATGCTTTCATAGCTGCTTCCTGTTCCACTGGGATGGATTTCATTGTGACGCACTAAAATGAGAAATTATCAAATGATTTCCTCTATTCAGGGCAGTGAATGCATCATTTAAAAGGTTTAAAGAGGCTTATAATGCTGCTTTGAGCTGTACTGTAAGTCACGTAAAACTCCAAAAGAAATTCTTACAGAATAAGTTTATGTATATAAAGATATATTATATTTATTTCTGTATATATTTTATTATTCATTATATTTTTATTATGTATATATTTGAATATTCTCTTTTCATTCTAAGGGTTTTAGCTGTTCTGCTAATGGTAACAACTAACACAGCAAACAGAATTAGCTTATATTGCTACTGGTTTATTTCTATATATATATTAATAAACTATATATATATATATAATAAAAAATAAAAAAACAATCAAATAAAAATAAATAAGGTAAGATAGTTTAACGTTCAGGTAGTGAAAGTCAGAGTACGTTAGGGTACGTCCTGTATCTCAGTCTCTACCTGCCAATAAAAACCTTTTTTATTGATTATTTCTTAATCATTTATTTCTTTTTCCATCTCTCTTATATAATGCATTTGTTTTATGGCTATGTGTAATTATCTGCAGTGTTTATTAAGGAGTTATTGAATATTTTTGGAACAAATTAAAGGAATTACAGTGTATTCTGATGGGAATATTTGAACCAACTAACATATTTTAACATAGAAGTTGGTCCTGGAACCAGTTAGATTCATTTATATATATATATAAATAATAAAGCAGCCTGCAGCTGCCTTTCACACGTGTTTGGTCTCATCAGCTAGCAGGATCCAGCAGGATTTCAGCCTCCAGCCGCGTTTGTTTGGGTGTTTCCCTCCCAGGATTCTGCTGCCTCAGCAGAACTTAATTCTTCACTTTACTCCCAGAAGTCACACTAAGGTGTAAAAAAAATAGGGAACTGCTGCAAATCCAGCAGGATCCTCCTCTTCATCTGGTCAATTCAGATAAAGGACATCAAACGTTTAGTTCACTGCCACGCTGGAAGAATAAATACATTAATGTTGATGTTGGGAAAATTAACTTGGTTGTTACATAAATAAACCAAGTTTTATTTCAAAGCATTCAGGGGAAATTACTGTTAGCTGGTAGCAGATTAAGCTAGTTCTGTTAGCTTGTTAAAAGCATTATCAACACGGCTAAAACCAGTAGCAGATGAAGCTAGTTCTGTTAGCTTGTTAAAAGCATTAGCAACACGGCTAAAATCAGTAGCAGATTAAGCTAGTTCTGTTAGCTTGTTAAAAGCATTAGCAACACTGCTAAAACCAGTAGCAGATTAAGCTAGTTCTGTTAGCTGGTTAAAAGCATTAGCAACACAGTTAAAAGTGATAGCAGATTAAGATAATACTGTTAGCTAGTAGGTTAAAAGCAGTTGCAAAACAGTTAAAAGTGATAGCAGATGAGGCTAGTTCTGTTAGCTGGTTAAAAGCATTAGCAGCACAGTTAAAAGTGATAGCAGATTAAGCTAATACTGTTAGCTAGTAAATTAAAAGCAGTTGCAACACAGTTAAAAGTGATAGCAGATTAAGCTAATACTGTTAGCTAGTAGGTTAAAAGCAGTTGCAACACAGTTAAAAGTGATAGCAGATTAAGCTAATACTGTTAGCTAGTGGGTTAAAAGGAGTAGCAACACAGTTAAACCGGTAACATTATTATGTTAGCTGGTAGGTTAAAAGCGTTAGCAGCACGGCTAAAACCGCTAACAGATTAAGCTAATTCTGTTAGCTGGTAAGCTAAAAGACTTCTAGCTTCTGGATTCAGAATCCATCTTTTAAAAAGGGATGATAATAATTAGTGGACGAGCAACTAGAACGACTGGAAAGGCTGACCGAACATTTTCAGACAATCCAGGAAGGAAAAAAAAAACATGCAAACAAAAATGTTTAGGAAATTAAAACAAAGGCTAGCTATGATGCTAGTAAACGGATATAAATTATACTGGTGTGAATCATATGGAAATCACCCTGACAGAGACAAAACTGTAATTTTCCCATGAAAACTTAGTCAAAACAATTACTTACCTACTTGTTTATATATATATTTTTATTTTATTTTAATTTTTTTATTTTATTTATTTATTTAATTTTATTATTATTTTTATTTAATTTTGAGAATTTTTCTTTTCTTTTAATATTTTAAATATTGTGGTCAATCCAGTTCTTCTTTTGACAAAGTGTCTGAAATGAAGAATCTAGTCCTGCTAATCCTGCTAAATGAATGAACTGATAATGAATTGTTTGCTAACTGTGTGAGTCTGTTTGTGCGTCTGTCTGTGTGCAGAACATGCGAATTCGCAGCGTTTGTGGAGACACTTACTGCACAAAGAGCGGCAAGAAGTTCACCGGCCAGGTTCTGGAGAAGTTCATGATCATCGACTGTGAGGAGGTCATAGCCGGTTCCTACAGGTGAGACACACAACCTACAGAAAGACACACAACCTACAGACAGACACACAACCTACAGACAGACACACA